TTTGTCCTTTAAAGTTAGATGTGTTTCATAGAAACAGGATAGATGGTTTGTGCTTTCTTATCCAATCTGCCAGTCTGTGCCTCTTCAGTAGGGCATTCAAGCCATATACGTTAATTGAGACAATTGATAAGTGTGGCAGAGATCTGTTCATCTTATTTTGTGAAAGTCAGTTGGTTAGTTTTATCCTTTGCACCATTGTGGAAGCTAGTTTTGTCTTTTAGTTTCTGGATATTTATTTTGCAGATAGTCTATTGTGATTATCTATGTAGAGAATAGGTCTAAGTATTTCCTGAAGATCTGGTCTTGTTGTGGCAAATTTCCTGAATGTTTGCATATCAGTAAAACATTTGATTTCTCCATCAATTTTTAAGGTTAGTTTAGCAGGATACAGAATTCTGGGCTGAAAATTGTTTTGTTTAAGAAGGTTAAAGGAAGATGACCATTCTCTTGTGGCTTGGAAAGTTTCAGTTGACCAGAAGGTTAAAGGAAGATGACCATTCTCTTGTGGCTTGGAAAGTTTCAGTTTCAACTTTTCAGTTGAAAAGTCTGCTATCACCCTGTTGGATCTGCCCATGTAGGTCAACTGGCACTTATTCCTCACTGCTTACCAAATTTTGTCTTTCATCTTAACTTTAGACAGGTTCATTACAATGTATCTTGTAGATGCTCCATTCATGTTGAGATGACCCAAGGTTTTATATCCCTCTAAAAGGAGTGTTTCAGAATCTTTAGTAAAACTTGGGAATTTTTCATTTATGATATCCTCCAGTAGGGACTCCTTTCCTTTGGGATGTTCTCCTTCCCCTTCAGGGTTCCCCGTAATTTGTGTGTTTGAATACTTATGAAGTCCCATAATTCTCTGAGCAACTATTCTGCTTTCTTTCTGTTCTTTTCTGCCTCTTTAAATACCTGCATTAGCTCAAGAGGTGTATCCCCAAGATATTCTTTCCTCTCCATGATCTAATCTGTTATTGATATTTTTAACTGCATCTTTAAGTTCCCTGACTGGCTCCTTTAATTTCTTAAGTTCCACCATATCCTTGCTATATTCTTCATATCTTTCATCCATTTTTCAGTTTTGTTTTTCCACTTTCTTGTCAATTCCATTTATTGCCTTCGCTATCCATATTTTAATTTCCCTTTCTGTCATTCCCATTAAATCTTTATAGGTGGAATCATCTGCAGTGGCTACTTCATGATTCCTTGGAGGGGTTTACCTTTTCTGGGTTTTCATGTTGCCAGAATTTTTCTGCTGATTCCACCTTGTGTGTGTTTTCTTCTTGTTGTTCACTTCCTTCCTCTTTTTTCCTTCTCACTGCCTCTTTTGCTTTAAAGTACCTTGTCTATGAGCTTAGGTGTTGAAATGGCCTTTAAGTATAAGGTCAAAAGGAAAAGAAGTTTAAAGAGTAAGAAAGAAAAAGGGAGTATAAGGAAAGAGTTTAAGAAAAGGGGAGAAAGAGGACAGATAGAAGAAAAGAGAGATGGGAGAAATGGTGGTGTTCAGAAGAGTGCTTTGACCCATACCTACAACTCCAAGACTTTATGAGGATGATCTGGGTGGGTGCCTTGAGGTCAGGATCTCCTTACCAGTCTGGGGAAAAATAAGACCCCCACCTCCACCAAATATAGAAAAAAAATCAGCAGTATCTCACAGTGGGGACCTACTAATATTGTCTTTCCAAAGGCCAAAGCTGGAAGGACACCCTAGACTATGAGCTCATGGCCTCCTGGAGCCAGACCAGTGCTGTGACCACCCCACCAGCCAGACAAATGCCATGATCCCCAGACTTCATAGAAAAGGAAAAAGAATAGTAGTTAAAGAAAATTAAAAGTACAATTATGTAAATGGAGGGGGGGAAAGGGTTATCTTAGTTATCTTAGTTGTTGTATGAGAAATTTATGTGGCTAAGATGAGAAAAGTAGAAAAACCTTTACCATGGGAAAGCGAAAAGGAGAGAAATAAAAAAGAAATAGGGGATTAAAAGGGTTGAAAAACTGTAACCAAAATGGACGAGTCCTTGCTATTGAAGAAAGTAAAAATGAAAAAAATACACCCAAACCAAAGCAAACCAAACCAAACAACACAACAGCAACAACAACCACAAAAAAGAAAAAACTAAGGAAAATAATTTGGAAAAGCAAAAATAGAGAGAAAGATATAGATATAGATATATAGCAATATATTGTCTGGACACCAGGTGATGCTACGGCGTTAGGAGACAGAGAACATACTGCTGGGACCAAAAGCTACTCTATAGCTTCACAGGAAACCTACTTGCCCCCAATCAGGGCCTGGTCACTTTGCCAGCACTCATTCTCTATGATATTAGGATCCCAAAGCTCTCACAAGATCTCTCAAGTGCCCCATCTTGACCTCTAAAACAGTGCCCCTGATAACAAAGTGTTTTTCAGAGGCAAAGATGTGCTCAACTCACCCCAAAGATGGTTGCCAAGCTCAGCAGGCACACCAGAACCTACCATGTACTAGGACCCTGCAAATTGTTTCTCTTCCAGCTTTCCCACAATGGCACCTGCCATTAGCCAAGCCAATGGGAACTTCAACCCCATCCAGCACTCAGTCTCAGCTGCCTGATGCTGCTCATGTTCCCTTGCTCATCTGAACCCCTTCAAGGCAATCTAGGGACCAGTTCAGTTTAAAAACAAAAACTGCAGAATAGGCTTTTTCCACCTCCTATCCTCTATGAACGGTCATCAGCCCTCCTTTGCCCATACCAGCGCACCTGCCCTCTGTGCTGGTCCTCCTCAGCTCCAGACCTCCTCATTGGCTCCTAAAGTCTGCTACTGCTTCTCTGTGGCTCTAAAGCCATGTTTCTGGGTAGGTTCCCATTCCCCTAGCCAGAGGTGGCCCAAATCCTCTGTCCTCTGGCTCACTGAGAGCTGACAAAGAGATGCTTCTAGTCTCCCATCTTGCCCACGCACTGTCTGGCAAGGCTATAATTTGGCTTCCTGAGCCAATTGCTGCAGTTGTGGGTTAGAGTTCTATCACCATTTATGGTATAGCCATTGCCTTTTGTATGTTTAGTCCCTCACAGTAGAATCATGGCATTGTAGATAGTGAAAAATACCTGCCTTATGGACCATATTTTATTTTTTTAACTACTGAACTAGAAGTCATACAATAACAGTATTTGTTCATAAAACACCTTAAACTTTTTAATATACTTTCAAAAACATTCTTCTCCTTTTTATCCTCACAACAACCTTGTGATCCTGAACGGTTAATTCTCTATGGTCACTGAGTGAATTGGGGCTAGAATCAGGATCATATAATAGGCAAAGAGTGATTTGTAATATATAATTCAAACTTTCTGTAGCTATCACCTACAACAGCTTTGAAGTAAATATTTTGGGTTTCATACTATGATAAAAGATCTGTTTCAATTGCTTCTAATTTAATTGCTTAAAGTTGGGATAAAACCTCAGAACAAGGGTCATAGCTCCCTTCAAATACCTACAAGGCTGTCATGTGGAAGAAGGGTTAGGCTTATTCTGAGGACTCCAGAGGGCAAAACTAATGCAAGTGAATGGAAAAGACACACATTTCAACTAAGAATGTGAAATATCTTTCTAATCTCTAAATCTAATGAGATACTTGCCCCCAAAGCAGGTGCTCTGTGAAAGAGCCAGTTCCTCATCTCTTACATTGTTTAAGTAGAACTACATGATCCTACATCTCTAGAGAGTTCAGGAATTGGCCACATCAGCTAACTCCAAAGACTTTCATAAATTTTGAGTTTATGAAATTCTGTTAAACTTTGAAATGAAGCATCGACATTTTCAATTCAGCAGTTTAAATTTATTCAAATTCTGGGTGAAATTATGACATTATGTTTCTCAAAAACAGTGAGCTCTATTTTAAGATTTTTCCCCAGACTCTTCTTTGAATTAGTACTTTTGCCCGTATTCCCATACGAAACTAAACTTTATACTAAATGTGTTGCATTCGTTTTTGATGTTTTAATGATTTATAGGACTTGGGTAAGCTTAAGACAAAACCAAAACCACCTTCTTTTAAATGTTTAGTACCAGAATTTTAATCTATAATCTTAGGTCTTCGAACAAGGTAATTTTCTTCTTTGTGGTTTCTTTTTTAATGTTCCTTCCAGTCACAACTATATTTTTTCTAGCGTGCAAGTAACTTGAAGCTCAAATAAAACAGTGAGTCTTCAACACCTAAATTGTGATTGTTTAACATTCTCCAAGATTTCCAGTGGAGCCTTTTCTGACCCCACTCCTTACCTGCCTCTTGAAACTTTTAAATCTAATCTCCTAATTTTCGCCAGACAGGCACTTTCTCTTTTATTGTGGACTATGGTTTCTGTCTTTTTATTTATTTATTTTGCAGTTCGGGCTGGGGCTGGGCTTGAATCCGCTACCCACTGTATATGGGGCTGGCGCCCTACTCCTTGAGCCACAGTCACCGCCCTGGTTTCTGTCTTTTTAAAAATAATTTAAAATCCTCAGTATTCTCCTAGAATCTGGGAGAAATTACTGAGATAAAGTAGGCAAGAGACTAGGATGGAAACAAATGCCTTCTGCGTAAAGCTAGTTATTCTGAGTTGTCTTTGACAACTTCCGGGACCAGACTTCAGGGAGGGCTGGAACTTGTTCTCTTTACCACATTTTTTTAAACTGTACATATTTACATATATACACATATGGCGAGGGAGAGGGAAAGTGATGACATGAGGCTTTCCTTGTAGAAAGGGAGGTAATAAGGAAATAAAACAGGTGTCTGAGAAGGGAGAACCAAGAATAGCCACCATTCATTCAGACCGGCAAGAGTTCTCTGCAGGTAGCAGGCTGAGGAAGCCAACTGGTGCACGCTCTTGGGGGGACAGGCTTTTTTGCTTTCTGTTTCTTCGAGTGCAGCCGGGGTGCACGTTTATTTGAAACTGATCGAATTTCCTGCTCACGTCTGTTCAAGTTGACGCTTCGAGACTAGTAGATACTTCTTTTGAATGTCTCCAATGCCTTTTCTGCTATTGCTGTTGTTGAGCTTGAGGGGGAAGAGATTGGTAGAAATTCTGGCTGGGTAAGGGGGGAGGATTCTCGGCGACGAAAAGGGGGGGACTCAGAAGCCGGAGGAAAAAGCAGTAGTTTCCTACCTCCACATCTCCTGTACCCCTCACTCTCCGCCGGTGACCTGGCGTGGAGACCCCAGGCGGCAGCATCAATATTTGAACCGATCTTCACTAGCGCACTGCCGACTCTCGCGCGAGGGGCTGTAGACATCGCCCGCTCTGTGCTGCTGGGGATTCGGCTTTGGAAGGACCGGCTCTGCGGTCGCCCCCTCTCCGGGCTGGCTCTGCCCTGGGGCCAGGGCGCGGCGCCCACCATGCGCGACTGCCCGCGGCTCGCGCTGCTCTGCGCGCTGCCCTGGCTCCTGCGGGCGGCGGAGACCCGGGCGCAGCCCCTAGCGCCCCGCAATGACCGCGGCGACCCTGCCAGGGGCGCTGATTTTGATCGCGTCTACAGCGGGGTGGTGAGCCTCAGCACCGAGAATATCTACTCCTTCAACTACACCAGCCAGCCCGGCCAGGTAAGACACTTGCCCCCTCACTCGACTCCTAAAACTTGCCGGGTTTCAGAGCCCCATTGCTGCTTGGGGTTCCCCCTAGGGGATAGACCTTGTGAGACCTCAGGAATCAGGGAACCGGGTTCCTTTTCTCCCCCGAAGCAATCATTGCGCTGCCGCCGACCTGCTGCAACCAGCCTCAGGGACAACTCTGCTTCACCTTGCGCCTCTCCGGGCCTGTCGCGGGCATTCTGGGCTTTGCGGAGGCACGAGTTACCCGCACCGTCTGCGGGTTCTGGCTCCCCACTGGGCGTTTCTTCAGGAAAGTCCCTATTTCTGGAGATTCAGGGAGAGGCGCGGAGTGGGGAGCGGGAGGCCGCACCTCTGTTCCTAAGCCCATGCAGGAAAGGAACCTCATTTCATTCGGAGGATCCAGCCAGCCCCTTCTGTTTCATGGCACAAGGGGAGGGAGAGCTGCTCGGAGCCTAAAATGGAAATTGTGTGAGAGTGGACGGAAGCCGCAGGACCTCTGTGTTCAGTAGTCATTCCCTGCCTGTCTGTACCGTTGTCACACGTTAGGCTTCCGAGACCCCAGAAGACCTGGTCAAAGACATAGGAACTGCAGCCATCAGGTTTGGGTTTTAAATAAGAGTGAATAATTGTGTGAAAGTTCTAGACCCATTTCTGACAAGAGTTGAGGTGAGATGAGGAGGGGAAAGATGACTGTTCTGGTAACTATGCCTTGGACATATATATTCTGATTATATAATGTAAGAAAATGCATGGAGTTCGCTTTTTCCTCTAATATGGTACCTCTGGAGCACAGTGTGGAGGGGGGAAGCAAAAACTCCCCAGGGTACCTGCCTCTGGACCTGTTTCTCATAGAAATGTGTTTATGTATCTTTTACTATGCCAGCATTTCCCACTCCTCAGAAAATTGCAGAACCAAATAAATGATGGGGATACTGCCGTATACCTCTCTGATTCTCACTCAAGATTAGAACTCAAAAAACCTCATTGCGTCAGCTAATGAGTGAGGCTGCACTGAGCAGGAGGGGCCGCTGTGCGTATCAGTACTCCCAGAGACATCTTTCAGTTGTGTGTAGTGAGGAAGTGCCCTGAGTGCCCATCTTGAGCCTGGCACCAAATCCTCTGGTGCTGTAACCATGGCAGCACAGCCTCAGATTGCATGTTTTGTAGCTAGTAGAGTGGCTGTGTGCAGAGCCATTCCATGGTAGACAAGCAGGAGGGGGCCATTTTTGTTTCCCGAGCCCCACAACTCTGGCCTCTTCCTAGCCAGTGGGAAACCCACCAGCTGACTGACAAATCACAGGGTTCCCAGCTCTGTAATTGGCTGGGAAGAGAAAAAAAAAAGCCTGAACAACCGTCCTCTCTGGGGTGTCATCTTACCCCTAAATCATTGGTAAAAAAAACTCAGATAACATCTGCCAAGTAAATTCTGAGAACAGGCTTTGATATTTCTTGCAAGGAGGAAGTCTCTGCTTTTGAAATGTTGCCTTTGCCTCCCTCTGACCCCCAGTACTGTATGAGCTTTGCAGTTAAGATTGCCTGCTTGACTTTTCTATTAACCTTGAGCTACTGAGGGCAGGGTCACGGTCCCTTACTTCATCTCTGTAGACTGGTACCTAACACAGTATGGCACAGAAGAGGTTGATAAAGGTTTTTGCAAAAATGAATGAATAAGCAAAGAAAGGCTTAAAGAACCTTTAAGCGGAAGTTAAATAAAATGAAACATATTGTTTTTGTTTTCAATTCAGTAAGTTGGAAAATGCCCAATCATTTCAGGCAAAAACACGAAGACAAATATTTTCAAAAAACATTTTTTTTTTACAAAAACAATTTTTAAAAAATTTTTCTATTATACTATTTCTATTTGGCCTATATGTGTGTTGAAATGTCCTTTATTTTATGAAACAATTAGTTTTTAAAATAAGTTTGCATAATACAACAAAAAGTTGACAACCTAAGCCATCCCTAGAATTTTCCTAAAAATGTTCCTAGTCTGAGAAATACAAAGTTGGAACCCATGAGGCTGGCAGATAACAAGGATTTCAGTTATGTTAATGCAGTGTTCACTAAAAGATAAATCAGATAACCTCAATTCTGACAGTTTTTAGGGAACAATCTTTAACATCCAACTAAGACAGTGGAACCCTCAACCCACTTATTGTGGGAAATTATTCCCTCACCTACCAGCCAGACCTACTGATTTCTCCAGAGATGACATTCTCCTAATCTGTCTGTCCAAACTATTATTCTCAGTCTCTGTGGTGACCGGTTCTCTTCTTGGTTGTTTTGGACCCATGTTGGATACTAGCTAGTAGCCCCTTCTTCTATGAACACAAAGTTATTGGATGTAGCAGAATTTTATTGAGAGTCTGGACTAACATAAAGTAAATTACAGCACAGCACAGAATAGGTGGCACATTAGGTCAGAAACCTAGGCAAGACTGTCCCAACAATTTACCAGCTACTCCCTACCAGGGAGGCATTCCAAGGTAGTGGCACTCTTTTTCAAGCTCTGGCTTGTCACCATCTTCTTGGACATCCCACACACTCCCAAATGCTGGCCTCCACCCTCAAACTTTTGTTACTCTCCTATGTTGTGCAAGTTTTGCCTCCATTGCCAACCCTAAACTCACCAAGGGGCTTCACTAACTAAAGATCTGTGATCTCCAGAACAAAAGCGTAGACATGCCTACTTTTCCTTTAACCAGAACAGTCATGTTCAGTCAGATCTCCCTACCTTGCAGGGTCATTATCCACTACTACTCTTCAGTGGAACAAAGAATTTGATTTAGGAGGAAAAATTCTAGTTTTTGAACTTCAGAACTTTTTGTTCTTCAAGCCACTGTTGCCTGCCCTTGCTTTTCCTATGCCTTGAACAAGAAAGTCAAATAAAGCTTAGGCTTTGGTGAAGGGAGGAGGCTGTTGTGGTAGGCATTGCTCCCAATCTTTCCTGTCAGCCATCGCATATCCCAAACCAACACTGTCCCAGAGAACTCTTTAGCAACCTCCTGCTATGCTAATTGGCTGAACTCAGCACCAGGAAAGGTCTTTCATGCCTTCCAGGCATACAGTAATGTAAATATAAAGTTGCCTTTTTAAAAAGTTCACTGGAAGAATGGAGTGGCTAGTTCAAAGAAGAATAATGAAAATAATAATTGAAAGTGCAGGTTAGGCAAGATCATGCTTCATTTCATTTCTCTGGAGGGGAAGTGTCTAGAGACTCCCTTTGAGAGGAGTAGGGTTACACTGTGCAAACAGGGTGTTCTGTAACCACAGGGCTCAACCAAACTGGAAGGAAATCATCTTGTTGGGAAAGTTGCCATTGATTCGTTTGACTGGGACAGAGGGTACAAATACAGGTTTACTGGGAAATGAGAATACCCTGGTAGAGACAGGTGGCAGCCACAATCAGATGTTTCTATTTGAGCTGGATGGTGATAAGAACCCTTTAAATAAAAATCAACCTCTGGGCAGCTTGCTGTCTTCTCTGAGGTTTCCAGTAACAGAAAATTCATTGTTTGCCTTAGAATTTTTTAATTTGAAATGTTTCACTGGAAATAGTTCTTTTATTTTGTTTATTAACTGAGATATTTATCTTTTCATGATATGTATCATACATTTCTAAGCCCAAAGAACAATTCTTGGCCTTATTAATATCAACCAGAAGTTGTAAAACTAGAACCAGTTATACCAGTTTCTTGGGTGGACTCGCTGTGCTAAGTTCCAGCTATACATATAACTAGTTACCTAAAAGAATTTAAAACTTTGATATGATGGCCTACTTCACTCCATCTTGTATAGGAAATGGTTGCTCTGGCTCGGCGCCTGTGGCTCAAGTGGCTAAGGCACCAGCCACATACACCTAAGGTGGCAGGTTCGAATCCCCAGCCCGCCCGCCAAACAACAATAATGGCCGCAACCAAAAAATAGCCGGGCGTTGTGGTGGGCGCCTGTGGTCCCAGCTACTTGGGAGGCTGAGGCAGGAGACTCGCTTGAGCCCAGGAGTTGGAGATTGCTGTGAGCAGTGAAGCCATGGCACTCTACCCAGGGGGACAGCTTGAGGCTCTGTCTCAAAAAAAAAAAAAAACGGAAATGGTTGCTCTTTAGGTCCTGAGGCCAGCAAGCCTCTTCTGCTGTCCTCCACATCTTTGTGTTGAACTGGACTAGTGCTTGTTGGAGGAACAGATCATCTCATTAGCATATTACATGGATGATTGGTCACTGTCTCAGTCCATCTGGGCTGATTCAATAGAGCAACATCAGCAAATTCCATGTCTGGTGAGGTCTGCTTCCAGCTTTTAGACAGCTGCCTTCTTGCTATGTCCTCATATGGCTGAGAGAATAATGACAGGAAGCATGATCTCTTATATCTCTCCTTGTAAAGGCACCAATCCTACCATGAGGGCTCCACCGTCATCACCTCATTACCTCTCAAAGGTCTTATTTCCAAATACTAGCATATTAGGGGTTAAGTTTCAACATACAGATTTTGTTAGGGTATATGACCATTCAGTCCATAGCAGTATCTCCCTCATTTTCCTCTGAGACTCTGAGAACAGTTGTTTACAGGATGAAATTATTCCAGTTATGGGTCAAACATTATGGTGGACCTGCCTTCTACCGCCCCCCCTCCCAGGTACTGAATTGCAAAACAGATTCTCTTAATCTGTGCTGCCCAATATTGTAGCCAGTATCCATAACGTGGCTATTGAGCACTTAAAATGTAACTAGTATGAATTGAGATGTGCTATTAAGTGCAGAACACATACTGTATGAAACAAATAATGTAAAATGTATCATTAATATTGGTATTATGTTTGATAATTTTTTGATATGTTAGATTAAATATAGATTACAAATAGATATATTTTATATATGAATATATATCAATATTTTGTATATTTATACATATATTCATAAAATTAAATTTCATCTGTTTCTTTTTAATTTTTAAATACAGACATTAGAAAATTCTCAAACACATATGGTGGCTC